TATAAAAATTGTTTTGCAGTACAATGGTAATTTTATTACTTTCCAATTTACCTTTCAAGGTATTTTACATCAAGGAATATTTCTATTACCGGCCAATAAGCTGATATTGAAGTGCCAGCGTGGATGCAATTCTATTGGACTCCAGAGAGATATCAATAATCTCTCGCCTTCTATGAATCGATTCGCTGAATAATATCTGCATTTACATGAAATAAACAGGCAGAGCTTACTGCCTAATTCTAGATGCTTTTTGATAGAAGTCAAAAATTATTATGAGCTATCACAATATTATTGTGCTTCACGTTACATTTACGCACTTAATGCAAAAAAGATAAGATCCGCGGCTCCGTATCGTCATCAGCCCTATTGGGCTATCCATGGTGATCTGATAGCTCTTTGAGGCGCGCGCGGAATGCGTCGCATTCCGCGTATTATAGTCATCAATAGGAAATAATGTATAAACAGACATAATAAATTAGGTTAACAGGTTACTTATGCAGAAATAACTCGACCAGTTTCAAGTCAGGCCGGGGCTCATAATTGTGAACAGCTTGTGCGTAAATCAATTGAGCGAACACGATGTAAAGAGAAATATAATTCAGCTTGGATAAAAAACAAGAAAATAAACAAAAACAATTTACTCTAATTATTTCAATATATCCTTAAGATAGTTTTAATACTGAAACATACATATAGAACAGCTATCTCAAAATGCACTCTCCCAATAGCTCCAAATAACTATTTCAATAAAACAAAACTTTTTGACATCACCGTTATAAAAGTCTGGCTCAAAGAACATTGTAAGGAGATCCCGAACTTGAACGGACAACGCAAACCTAACCTTATTCCTTAAACTATAGAGCTTAGTTTAGACTAACATAACATACGAAAGCCATATTAAATATGAATTTCTTTATCTCATTTCTAGTGAAGTTTTTCGCTAAATCGACGAGATCTAAATATTATTAATATATAAAAAAAAACTTGTTTGTGTATGATTGTTGTTTCGATAGGACGAAGTATTCTGTTTTTGTTGTGTGTAACAACAAAATGTAACTATCTATTTATATATTATGCAATAACGAGATTATGGGCTAGGATTACACCTACATAAGCGTGTATGTATTATATTCCTTTGTATTCTTAGATAATATTTTCCTGGTACTATCTTTCACCTTTTGGTAACTGTATGTATACATATTTATATTTAGCTAGATAAAGGCAGGCCATTGCTATATCGTTCCTCTATATGTATAAGAGCCATAAGCTCCACGCATGGCAGTAATCGCTAGATAAAATTTTACTGAACTGAAAGTTATTCACTTTGAATAAGTGACAATTCTTCCGTACTAACAACTGTCAAATATCAATTTTATTCTACAGTTAAGAATTAACTGATTATTGAAATATCGGCCCTAAAAGGTCCAGGTTTAATATCTCTGTGAAATCTAAATAAATGTGAAATACGTAATGTCATGAGGCCCAGGGGTCTTCTCATGTATGAGAGTACTATCAATGTGTAAGTACTAATATGTCTATTTCGAGTTGTATCCACTTTGTAAGAATATTTAGACACCACTGACAAACGGTGAAAGAAAACATCGTGAGGAACCGGAGCTTATAATTTCTAATTATAGATTTGTAATCGCCAACCCGTATGGAACACGCGTGGTGATTAATGCTTCGACCTCCTCCGTGTGAAAAATAATAATGGCGATGTATCGTTCCTACTCATTGTAGCTTATCTATATATATAAAAGAAAGTCGTGTTAGTTACACTATTTATAACTCAAGAATGGCTAAATCGATTTGGATGAAAATTGGTGGGGAGGTAGCTTAGAACCAGGAGACGGACATAGGATACTTTTTACCCAATTCTTTTTTTTACTTTTTACCGAAAATCAAGAACGGGAACGGGAAATATCGGGATTGCGCGTACGAAGTCGCGGGCAGAAGCTAGTATCTTCTAAAAATAATAATCACAATATTATTATAATAAATATAATATAATATACATATAATAGTCACACATAACATAACATCACGTCTTGTATCCCCGAAAGCGTAGCCAGAGGTGCACATTACGGCACTTAATGCCACTGTACAATGTAACACCCACTTTTCACTATTTATATTATGAGTCCCATGTAATAGGGGGTGAGCCTATTGAACATAATTCTCACTGTGTCTGAAACCCGAGAAGAATACAAACAATACGGCCGTCAGATATTTGTGTGTTTAGAAATTGAATACAATAAGTTAGAAGAACAGATCCGATTACTTATAATATTTATACAACGATTAAGTATATAAGCCTTAAGTATATAATGTTTGCTTACTTAGTTATTATATGTTTGCGTTCAACATTTCCTATTTAAATAAAGATAAACTTCAAAATCCGTGTATCGGGAAAATTGTGTTTGTGATATTGTATGTTAATCAAAAATCAATCGTATTATATTTGTAGTAAGGTGTAGGATTATAATTGTGATTGTTCTTTTCTCGATGGGATGTGCATGCACGGACTTTATGATGATATGAGGCCTCGATAGCAAACCTTATCCTGAATGGTCAAAGATTCTCGACCAAGCATTTTTTATTTAGAGTGTTGAGTTCGAGAGAAAATACCAACTAAACAAATAAATGTACCTACAGCTTTTTTATACTACATAACAATCTTAATATTTGTCTAGTTCATCGTACGTAACGACAAACAAAGAATATACTAACCTACACCTCATATTTACAAGCGCTCTTCCACGCACACTACCCTAACCAAACACGCACAGAAAACATATTTATCATACGTAATTCACACAGATGAAATCACAAAGCAATTATAATAATAAAATATGGTGAAACTTGGTCCACACGTTCAATTTCTAAAGGCAGGCAACGTAATATTTTGCCTGTTGTGTACACAACATAAGTTTCGAGCAGTTCCTCGCAAGTAAGTGATGCAAACAATTGGATAAGGTGGGACCAGCGTCGGGCTTTCCCTGATTGTTACCGAACTCGACATGTGAATAGTGCGTCCCTTTCCTGAGGGTACACTCGATTGGGGATAGTCTAAGTTACGGGAACAAGCGATTTGATGATATTATGTGTTAACTTTGATAGAGAAGATGGACATTAAGCTATGCACAAGTATGTACAAAATTACATTTGTACATAGGTACTTGTGCATATACTACATATATAGATTACCCCTGTCAGGATTACCCCTGTTACCCAGTCTGTAAAACGTAAAAATACAGCAATCCCATCTTCTTTATGAAATGCATAGTTATCTATGCCGATTGGTGTCTTATCGCATACAGTAATTCAATTCACTCAGCTCTTAAGACAAAATTCTCACAGTATACAGTTAAATAATGAAAGCGTCCAAGGCCAGTAGGGCTGATGCGGCCGATACGGAGTCGTGGAGGACTTAACTGGTTGCCGGGGCTCCGTGTCGAAGTGGAGGAATAGGAACGGGGTGATTTTTAGTCAGTAAGAGTCTGACACTTCTTTTCTGCCTCACCGAGGCGGGAGAAGTCATTTAATGATATTCCCCCTTAAAAAAATTACGAAAGAATAAAAAAGAATAGAAAAGTTCTTGTTGCAGAATTCAATCACTAGTAGTAAGTACGTAAGTAAAATAAAATAAACTTATTTCCCATCACACTTTTAGAGGTATAAGAAATAAAACATCACTTCGCTCATCACTCCTTCCTTACACCGATACGGGTCCATATATTCACACAAGCTACGATCGAACGCCGCCGTAAATTCGCGCACCGGTTAGACTCCACCAAGTTTCTTAATCAACAAATAGAAAGTTGTCATACGTTAATACTTAGTACGACGAAGTAAACTCGGATTATGATATTACTAAGCTACTGAGTCATCTCTGTGAATTATTTTCCGAGATATTTTATTTTGCTTGGTTGCTTTTGTCGCTGAAAATAGGTAGAGTGATTAAATAGATGTTTTTTGTTACTTTAGTAGATTGATAAGAGATAAGTAGACACCTTTATTTATTCAATATTAAAAATACGCGGAGTATCATCAACAGCCTATAAGTCTCCACTGCTGAGCAAATCTTCTTCTCATACGGATTAGGTTTGAGCATTAATCACCACGCTTGCTTATTACGGGTTGGCGATTTCAAACTTGTAATTACAAATTAGACCGTAGACCGCATCATCGCTTACCAACAGGTGAGATAGTGGTCAAACGTCGCCCCATGAAAAAAAAAAAAAAAAAAATATAAATCCAGGTTTCCTCATGAAACGGTGAAGAAAAACCTTCACCCATCGTTTCTCAGTGGTGTCTAAAGAATCTTAAAAAGTACATATAACTTGGAAAATGTTACATTGGTATTTGCCATTGGTAGGTTTCGAACCCGCATACATCAGAAGCGAGCGTCTTAACCTTGGGGCCACCACACACCACACGGAGTATAATTCATGTGTAATATTGATATATTCGTTGCAGGTGGTCTATGTATTTCTTCCTTCGTAGTGACAAAAAATATACTATCATACGGCAGCTTATAACAATTCAATCCTGTGCAGTGGATTAAAGATTACTGTATAAAAGGGTCATATTTATCACAAGTTGTTGCTGCCCAATCTTGTCTAGTTAAATTTATGTGTAGTCTCATATAGCCATTTTCTATAACCTATCTATCTATAGATTTGCTTACTGGAGATAGAATTTTGACACATTTTGTGTTGAGCTTATGATAGGTAATTGAAACTGGCCGTTAGTCGGCTTGTGGTTCTTTCGACTCGTGAAAAGAAAAGAGGTTTTATTACGAATTTTTTTTACGTTTAAAGTAATGAAAAAAAGACCGCGTTCGTCGCTCTAATTGGTTGATTCATTGAGCCTGCCAATCAGAGCGTCGAACGTATTTTTGTACTAACTCGTACTAAACCCTCTGAGGTGGTGAACAATGTATTGTCATTATATAATTTAAATATTTTTCTCTTTTCTAACTATCATGAAAGCCTTACCTTGAACCATGCCATAGTTGAGTCGTCATACAGAACCACCCATTCTTCTGACCAGGAGTTCCATAAATATTTCCCTGGAACAATTAAACACGTGTCAGCGATCTCAATTTACAATACAAATGTTTAAAACATTTTGCGAAACACGATCACAAACATTTTCAAGTGGAACGAGTTTTGTAATCGCTTTAATTTGTAGTTTTTACATAATTTCATGAAGTTAAATTTTATATTTTTTTTTTAGTTTTTAAAAAATATGAAGGTCTCCTTTCCTCGTTGTCGCACAAAGATGAAAGCGCGGCTTTTGTTTCTGATAAAAAAGTAACAAGCGGAAAATAGGTATTTTTCTTCCTGGATATACTTTGTATAATTTAAAATATTTTTTTCAGCGGTGAGCTAGGATTAATGTCGCATGTATTTTTCAGAATATAAATACATAACCGTCTACTTGCTTTACAATTACAAAAAGAATTTTACTTCTTGCTAAATCAGTTAGTTATTATAATTAAACTCTTTGACTTCGGAACTATCAAAACCAGGGAGGCTACAATTTTAGTTTTTCGAAAAACAAAGTCGCTATCCGCCGTCTGTTTGTCCCTATGTATGCTTAGATCTTTAAAACGATGCGGTTTTATAGATAGAGTGATTCTTAACTCGTCGAGTACCGTATTTATAGACACAATTAAAGAACAATAGGTTGCCTTCACTGGTGACCGCTTGGTGTTTGACAGTTTAAGGAAGGTTTATACATGTATTATAAGGTATATATGGACCTATAATACATGTATATTGCACCCGTGCAAAGCCTGGGCGGGTCGCTAGTTATTATATAAACAATTTGAAATAATATGTAGCACATACATCGACAAAGTACAATAAATTTCTATTAAACTAAAATTGTTACATTAGACTTTACTATAAAAACACCATATTCATACTTCTTCAGTGTTGCTTGAAGCAAAGGCCTACCTATATAATAAGTTGACATAACAGTATTCAAACCCATCAGGATTTAAGTGCTGACAGTTAAGATTCGCAAACCGCAATTGATCTCCGGATCATAAGTCTCACGACGGTAACATTATTACCAGTCTCACGACCGCAACGTTATTACCATCTTGAGACTCAGATCGGAGAGCACGTAAAGACGAATGGATATTCAGAAGCCTATACGTCTGCATTGAACCATAGTAATGTACCGTATTCGATGTGTTATGAAGATGTTCAATAAGATACTAAAAAGTACATAGGAGTCACCATACTTGAACAGGCTGGAGATAGTAGCTAAAAAGTTCTAGTTTAAACAGAGCACAAATGTGTATTACCTTAGACTCTATGATACCCACAAAAATAGTAGGGTTTAATGTATTCAACCGGTTCTGTAGAACAGGAGCATAAAGAAACAACATAACATAACAACACACCTTTTATCCCCGAAGGGGTAGGCAGGGGTGCACATTAAGCCAATGCACAATGTTACTTTTCACTATTTATGTTTTGAGTCCCATGTAATAGGAAGTGAGCCTATTGCCATATACCGGGCACAATTCAAGGCTCCGTGCTACTATTGAGATTTTTTTTAAAACAAAGTAATACTTTATCCGACCCGGGAATCGAACCCGAGACCCCTTGCCCGGCAGTCGCACTTCGACCACTCGACCAACGAGGCAGTCAGAGCATAAAGAAACCTGCGTCTATATCCTTGCACCCTCTCATCTTCCAGTAACGGTAGATTGTGCTGCTGCTGCAAAAAGCCTCGAACGGCGTAAGTGTAATATCTTGCTGGTAATTATGTTTTTTGAGCCGTTTGGGGCTGTCAAAGTCAAAGTCAAAGCATTGATTTCAATTAAACCATAGTTTGGTACTTTTGAAACGTCAACAAATACAAAATAAATAATAGTCTGTCAATCAGTCGTCGTCAGTGAAACTAGGTGAAGCTAGGTGCTCATTCCAAAAAGTAGATTCGAATGGAGAAGAACGAGCTAGAAACTCCATTCGTTACTCTTTTTAAAAAACTATGTTCTACAATGTCTCTGATACATATTTCAATACTGTACGCATATGTAAGAACAATGCAAAGACACGCTTGACGCATTATACTAATAACTTACTAAAAAGTCCAACATGGTGCTCACATATGCATACTGACAATCCAATGACCTGATACGCTAGGTCCGTGGGGTCTGAGTGCCTATACTTTATTTAAAAATATTACAAAACGTCTGGTCGACGTATCTCGTAACCAGAGGGCTTGTCTGTTCCTCGGTCAGAGGTTAAGCATTGTCATACAATGTGGCAAAGCTGCCAGCCTTCTGGGTACTTTCCCAGCTGACATCGATACGGATAAATTTTTCGACGCTCTTTGTAAATAGTTATTTTTAATTTGTTTTATGTTATTTGTAAGTAGTTTTTAAGTTTAATAGTTTTAAATCTTATACTATTATCTTATCTTATACTATTATATAAAGCGAAAGAGTTTTTTTTATGTTTTTTTGAACGCGCTAATCTCCGTAACTACAAGTCTGATTTGAATAATTCTTTTTGTGTTGGATAGTGCATTTATCGAGAATGGCTATAGGCTATAAAACATAACGCTAAGACCAATAGGAGCTGAGCAGAGCATGTGAAACCGCGCGGAAGTAGCTAGTATATTATATTAGTAATATGGATATCAATAAGGCATTAAGAAAGAAAATACCTCCCAACAACGCGAATAACTAGGTATTATAAGATCAACTATTAGTGTTAGACTATAATTAATACATTAAGTTCATAATTCATTAAATTACTATTACTAAAAGACAATATATACAACTTAAAATATAAATAACTATGAACCAAGATAATTATACCTTAAAAAAAATGCTATCCTTATGATAGCATTTTTTTTTAAGGTCATCAAAAAAAAATTCATCATTTTTTATAAGCATCAAAAAACAATTTTATTTACTAGGTATTTATTTACTTCTATTACATTTAACTCGAAATTAAAAGTTGAACATTGTAAATTCACCTTTGTTCGAGCACAAAATAGTTGAGTAGAGTATTCTCATCAGTGTTGCTACAACTAAAATACATTTAAGTTTACAACTTCACGTAACAGTTACTGATAGGAGACTCATTAAGTAAAGTACCTAATTCTAGCTATCTCGACATTCAAAGTTTACGAGTATTTGGAATCGAATGCGCATACTAACGCCTTGGATAGACGAAGAACTTGTCTGACTTGATTCAACTGCATCTTCTTTATAAGTAATTCGATATAGGTAGTTCGCAATCAGTTAATCTTGTTTATATTAAAACTTTAACTCGTCGAGTACCGGTTTTATAGACACAATTAAAGAACAATAGGTCGCGGTCACCGGTGACCGCTTGGTGTTTGACAGTTTAATGCAATATACATAATGAATAATGTATTATTATATTCGCTGTTTTAGTTTTACTTGATTTTAAGTTGTGGGTGTATATCTTTATATATATAATTCTTCTGTGAGTGTGTATGTCACTGAACTTCTCTCAAACGACTGGACCGATTTTGATGTAATTTTTTGTGTGTGTTCAAAGGGACCTGGAAATGGTTTACATTCACAAATCAGCCCGGCAGATGGCGCTGCAGTCGGTGTTTAGATTATTAATCCTAAACAGCTGAACTAATTTGACTGAATTTTTGTTTATACATTCAAGTGGATATGCAGGACAACGTCTGTTGGGTCTGCTAGTTTATTCATAATATTATTTTACCTAAGTGTATTATTAAATAAAACATTAAACATTATTGTGTTTTCGGCTAATTATACTAGCATGCCTTAAAATTAGTCGATTTCCTCGTCAAACAGTTAGGTGTAGAAGCCGAAAGTATAATATTTAATTCAGTTAATCTAGACAAAAACGTACCTCGTTATGTAGTTGAGTCAAGTTGTTACTTGATTTTATTCACAATCCTGTATTGATTATTGTCTTTAGTAGACAACAGTCTGCAGTGCTTATCATGACATGTAGTAAGTTTATTTTCCGGACAGAAATATTTTTTGAGTTTCGATCATACTTTGAATTGTTGTACTAGGTCTGGGTATGACGTGGGTGTGAAAATATGTTTGTGAACGCAACCAAAACACAGGAGAAAAACATAGAGAAGCAACGTTTAAATAAAATTCCTCGTCTATTTAGACCCTATATAAACGCTCAGTTCACTGTCAATGACGTCATTTACATTCGTTGTCTCTTTTCTTTAACACTCTATCTCAGTCTCACAAGTGAGGTTTGGCCGTAACTCTCTTCAGCTACTTAATAGTCGAGTAACTGGCACGCCAGCTGCCGTTTTTACTTACATCGGCAATTTCATAACAGCCTGCCACAGAGCTAATGCGAAAAGAAAGTCAGAAGTGCCTAAAATGTTATTTTTATTTGTTGTGTAATAATTAAAAAAAAAACCGAAAATTCATTTGTCTTTACCCCTTCTCTTTCCACGCGTATTTTTAAGTCTACGAGAGACTAACGCAATAACGCTCCCTAATAAACCTGATTATTTTAAACTCCGATTTTCAAACCGCCTTTTTTTGAGAGGAGAAAATCATCCAATGACTTCTTCCACCTTAAGTTAGGCGAGAGGGAGTGTCAGACTCTTACTGACTAAAAATCAAACTGTTCCTACTACTGCGCTTCGGGCCGGAGCACCAGCAACCCGTTAGGTCTTCCGCGACTCCGTATAGGGCATCAGCCCTATTGTGCCCCATCTATGGTCCGATTGCTCTTTGAAGCACATCTCCTACCCGCCTAGCGTACAGATTATGAGAAACCCCTCTTTTATAGATGAGAGCTGTGGACAATTACGGGCTCTTAATGGTGACATGTTTTTCCCCAGACAGACAATATCAACAAATCTAATATTAATCTTTTCTCTTTAATCTCTTACATCCCCAGTCCCTTAATCTCAGTACAATAAAACTAGAATAACAGTTTATATAAACCTTCGGCAATCGTCGTAAAGAAACTTTGTTTTACGAACGAATGAGAATTAACCCTAAAGGCAGGGTCGGCGAGTCAAATTAAGGGTTGCCGAACATCACCGATATACTGGAGTAAATTAGGAGTGTTTGACAACCTTAATGTGGAGATGTTAGTGTTTTAATAAAGTATTGAGGAAGACTGGTTCGTTGACGAAGAGTGTTGATTAGCGAGACTGCTGGTAAGACTGCGATTAACAAGGAATCTGGAGTTCAATTCTTAGTCCAGGTTTTTTCACAATTGTAGTAAGTGTATTTACCATTTCATTAACTTTGAACGCAGCAATTTCATTTCGATTCATAAAAAAGTCCTACGAGGAGGAGATGAACTAAATTTAGCTCCATAAAAAACTGTGAATAAAATTCGACCCACATCAAATACCTATTGGCAGCATGAATAAGAATAATTTCAATTCTTCCGAGAACGAGATCTTTCACAATGTCTCTAGTACTATAAATCGATAAATATTCATTGATAAAAACGTTAACAGCCCTGTTCCCAAGCCCCTTTCATGTCGCCTACACCCTGTCAGATTATTGACTCACTTCGAAAATGATCGAGTACGTATTTTTTATTGACGAGACTTTTACGAGATCACTATAAAGAAGTTCAGACCTTCCCCTACGAGCGTGTTGTTCATCTGAGAGGAAAAACACGACAGCATATATCTCCTTTAAAAACTTTTTGTTTCACTATATTATATTGAGTTCACTCACCCTTGTAAATCTCGACGACCCTAGTTTTATTTCATTTTTTTTTTCATTACGAACGAATGCTCACTACGTATTCAACGAGCAATTTATTTCTAACTATATGAAATGTTATCGAAGAATTCGAATCTGGAATGAAATTTAAAATGAAAAGGTGAATCAGAATTGAATTCATACAGATGCTACGCAGGGTCTACGAGAGTGCTACGAGATCGCTACGAATTTGCTACACCTTCGGTATTCTGAGCTAAGTATGATTTCAAAAGATACTTACGTTTGTATCGCAGCATGTAGCCGCCTTTGATCTGTGTAGCGCCATGTTCTGAAACAAATAAAGAATATATTTCAGATATTTTCATTGAATTAACTCGAGTGACAAGTGTAACAGAATGCCTTGCTTGAAAAGAAATAATGCACATATTTGCTAATTTAGTATTCGTTTATTTATGAAGTTCTTTACTATTTCTTTTAAGACTGCCTCGTTGGCCAAGTTACCGCAAGTGCGACTACCGGGCAAGGGGTCTCGGGTTCGATTCCCGGGTCGGGGAAAGTATTACTGGGTTTTTAAAAATCTCAGTAGTAGCACGGAGTCTGGAATTGTGCCCGGTATATGGCAATAGGCTCACCCCCTATCACATGGGACTCATAACATAAATAGTGATGAAAAATGGGTGTTACATTGTACAGTGGTATAATGTGCACCTCTGCCTATCCCTTCGGGGATAAAAGGCGTGATGTTATGTTATGTTCTTTACTATTTTATTATGTAGATATCATTTTGGTTTCAATGATTAATAATATCTATACAGATAAATAAAATTGGAGTGTGTGTTTGTAATATTAAAGTTACCGCTTTTTACTGCATGTATATGAATACGATACATATACCAATATAACACTTTTTCCAATTCATTCTGTCTGTCTATCTGTCTGTCTGTTTGTACTGGCTAATCTCTAAATTGACTAAACTAATTTTGCCCGGACTTTTATTGGCAGGTAGTTAATGTACACAAAGCACCGCTAATTAGTTGCAGCGCTACACATCGACACAACTGTCATTTACACAGTGTACATGTGTGCGTAATTTCATATAACTGTATATAAAAATATTCGTCCACCACGTTCACATTGGTATTTTCATTCTTGTGTCGGTATACGTATTTTTATAATTTAATGCATAGGTAAGGTTAAAACTATTTACAATCATTGATATGACCCGACATTTTCACTGTCATTATCGTAGTGCTCGTGGTCGATTGGTTAATGAGCACGCTTTTATCGTCTTTCAAGGATCAATGATGTGGGTTCTATTCCAGCTAAAAGTTAATTTTATTTTACCTTGTTTTTTGTCATAAAATATAAATATCAGGCTATAAAAGAAGCAAATGAGTTGGTAAATAAAACAATACTATTTTTTATTACAATTAATTTATTTATTATACAAATATGTTGTTTTATATTCAATATTTATATCTAATAATTAATTATATACCACATGTTAAGTTTAAAGTTCTTTAAATCATAATTAATAGATATGACAATAAACCTCATAGTCGAATCGGGAAATATCATGCGGTACAGCGGTAATACGATGGCAGCAACATTTTTTATTAAGTAGGTAATAAACAAATATACAACATTCTTGTTTTGTAATTTAATAATATAATGTATTATTAAATTACAGTTTTACAGTAATAAACAAGTAAAACATGTAAAAAATTACACTGTCAACATAATATTTCTTGAAATGGGCGACTTTTTGTCGTTTGAACTTCCATTAATTATCTATTTTACGACGGTTGTTATAAGGTTCAATATTCAGTGGGCTGTATGATAGTAAAAAGAATGTGACGAATGCTATGGAACGATTTTAACTTTCATGACCTTTAGAATCAGGGAAACTTTAAATTAATTGAAGATGGGCGTAAATATAATATGTCAATCAAGTTCGAAAGCAGTTAAATAAATTTGTTAATGAAAAATTATAGTGAAGTGAATAAACATGTTGAATAGAAAGAAATTATGACAATTTCTAACCACAAAACAATAACATCACTTCACCGTATGTTCTAGACAGCATTTTAATATTCTTAAAAAAATTAAACATTATTTTATGTTCATTTTAATAAAGGCAGAGTTTGACAGGCTCAATAATTGATTCCGAAATCAATACAATCACTGATCCTACAAGGCAGAAGGTTGCAATTCGTATACCTTTCTCCATCTTTTCTTCACAATATTTTACGCCCATCCTTATCCGACTTGAAAGTCTTTTCGTCGCTCAATATGATTACACTGTTCGCCCAATCAAAGTAATAAAGTCCTTAGCAAATTCTTAGCGCTTTTGCTGGTAAACCACAGATAACAATATTTTCTTCTCTGGCTTCCTGCACCTTAAACCAGAATGCAGGTGTCTCCGTACAGTTTGTATTAAAACATTCAGTGCTGTCGCTGTAGTGCGGGTTGGCAGGAACGGATCAGCCATGTGCCTGGCTACGATGTCGTAGTGCCGAGCCGATGAATTTGCCTTTGGTTTAGGCCCACGTCGACGATGTTTAACGTCACCGGTCTCCGCATATCAGTGCACCCATAACTGCATGGATCTCCTCTGTTGATACCAAACAAATAAGTATTTAAAATACCAGGAAATACTTTACAGGAATTAAAGTTATTTAAAAATAATAATAAATATAAGTAAACACAATGTTAGAATAATAATTTATAATTAAGTAGTGGCGTAAGGAATAAAAATCCCTAACCAGATATGTTTTAAAGAAACACTCCTAACAAAAACAAGTCAAGTTACAATACAATCCTTACTAATATTATAAATCTGAAAGTGAGTTTGTTTGTTTGTTTGTTTGTTCCACCTTCACGCCGTAACTACTCAATCAATTGCTTTGAATTTTTGCAGACGTAAAGTTAGAAGTCCGGATTAAATAATAGGGTACTTTTTAACCCGGATAAAATTGATATTCCCGAGGAAAAACAAAATTATTGGTATAGATGGCGCTGTGTGTATTGGTATATGTCACATAGGCTACTTTTTATTCTTTTGTGACGCGAGCGAAGCCGCGGGTAAAAGCTAGTTAATAATAAATTATTAATATATCTTTATAATATTGAACTTCATAATAAGTTGCAATAATTATTTTATTCTAGTGCAAAAATTGATAGGTGTGTCGAGTTACAAAATGAAATAAATATTATTTAGAATATCAACGTAGTATCTTATTTACTCACCGATATCATTAAACGCCTTGCTATTTCAGTTATTGTTAGTTATGTTTTGCTCATGCAAAACAATGGTTTCAGCCTTTTTAAATGTTGATAGGTGTTGGAACATCTTGTAAAAATAAAAATAACTTTGCACACGAATATAAGTAGTGTAGCAATAAACTATGAAATCCTCATAAATTGACAACTAAGAACGCAATTATTTTGTAAGTCGGGTGATTTGAAAAACATGTTTTAAATAGTCGGTAGTTACTTCATAAGCGTGTAAAATAAAATGACTCGAGATTTCTATGGTCGCCACAAACATTACAAATATACTCAGGTATCGAACCATTAAGAAATCACAGTTAATTACTTTTTTACTGTTTTTATCTTATTTAAGTTGGTTGAAATGCATGAAGCAAATGAGATTATTCTAAATAATAAATAACTAGAACTAAAATATAAATAAAAGATATTATAGGTATAAATAAATCTAAAGTATTTACTATTAAAATTAACATAAGATTTAGAACATTTGATAAATTAATTCTAAAACAACATGTGAATGTTGGAATCGATCCGGCGGCACTTTACTTGACAATTGGAGGCGATAACCATTGCGCCAAGCGCGCTGTAGATGAGATCATCGAAATATTTTATATCATTCAGTAACATAAAATTACAATGAGAAAGCACTATATTTATATGGGTATTGTATAGCTCGATCGTTCATTATTTTTGATTTCGATTTATTCAAAGTTTGTTATGAGTAATTTTATCTTTACCCTCGTTTTTATTTAAACTTATTTACTAAATTATTGCGTATACCGACACAAAAATGATTTTTAAATACCAAGATGTGTGTGATAGACGAATGTTTCTATACATATCTATTGATATGAAATTACCCACACATGTATATTGTGTAAATGATAGTTGTGTCGATGTGTAGCGCCGCTAACTAATTAGCGGTGCTTTGTGTACTAAGGAGTAACATAGGCCATTTTTATTTAAAAAAGCAGCCGAAGTAGCGGTTTAGCTAATCTTTAATTTAATTGTGACAAACAATAATAAAAACTTTGAATGTATTACAATTTATGCAGTATTATATCATTATGATTTCATTTATTTCAATTTAAAAAAATATTCGTAAAATAAATTTCATTTATTTACTTTAACACTCTCTTTAAGTTTATATATGACTGATTTTAATGTAGTTAATTATGATATTTGACAAAATTTTGTATGACTGCGATGGTATGATATTAAAGACGTATGTTATAGATATTAATTAATTTTATGGATATCTTAGATGTCCGAAATAAATGATTTTTATATTTTATTTTATTTTTTAATTTATTTACGAAAGTCATCTGAACTAACCACAGAAATATTTTAATATATCTGTGGAACCAACAAACCCATACATAACAATTTTCCTTTTACAAATAAAACGAAAATCTACCAAAAAAAACCATAAAAACAAACGATCAAAAAACACGAAATCATCAAAAAAGGCTACCAACAAACAAGTACATATATATACAGCGGGAAAATAAAAGAAAAAATTTAAAGGAACCGCAGAGAATATTAACAAAAGCGGTTATTTCTGGTAAACAGGAAAGTTGCCGGGACCGAACTGAAACCCACCGTGATACGAATACGCAATCATTCTGTTTGTGTACATTTCACTGCGTAGACATGTTACCAGGATCATGAGACATAGTAATATTCTGGTTTTACTCGAGGTAACGGGATAAAAAGTTCTCAAAACTGGTGTTGCTTTACCTTTAATCCCTATCTTAGAATAAACAGTAAGTACCCTAAATGTTTTTTTTTCTAGACAACATTTATCGATAGCTGTTTCATGAAGTTGTGATATATTATTATTATATTCTAAAGAAAACTATAACTTTTAACTAAAATTCGCGGGTTATTCACATGAAAATACTGAGAAAAGCTGTACTCGTTTCGAGCCACAGAGGGGTTCTTCCTCATGAGCAACGTGCGCGGTCGCAGTGATATCAGGCAGCCTACTGTTGTACAACCAGCTTCGGCGCTCGCATCGGTGTTGTTACTTGCGCTACGAGCCCACCGCGCCCT